TGGTCACTCACATTTGGTACATTGCCTTTCTCTTCACCCAAATCAATATTTACTTCTATAATTAAGATATCTTCTAATGACTAATTTGGCTTTGATATATACTGATAGCAGAGAAGGGATGCTCTAGTTGGCAGACATGAACATTTTGGTCCCCAGAAAGAATTACTCCTATTATAAAATAATAAGTTGACATACTGGCTTATATATTAATCCTTTCGTAAGTTTGATTAGCATTAATCTGTTGAACTTTGGGGACTTGCAGGCAAGTTTCTGGACATACAAAGACAGAGAGGCCTTGAATTGTGACCGTCATCAAAGCAGAACCATCTAATTAAAGTTTTGAAGGCCAAAATAATACATCTCCTTTCTTTCTGCCCTTTAAAATTCTAATAAAGGAAACGCTCATGCTCTAAATATATGATTACAAGAGAAATAACTATAGCATATGAAGAATCTTCCTGTCTAGAATTTGGCATTCTTATGAAAGAAACCAACCTGTGAACTATCTTGTTTCTTTTTCATTCATCTAAAAGCTTTAAAATAAACAATTCTTACCTTTTTGTAATGTTTGACTCAACCAGTGATAGAATCTCAGTAAGACTGACTCATCTCTTACACAGTTGATATAGTGAAGTAGCAGAGAACTATTCAAAACTGAGCCCATCTGACAAGGAAGCTGCAAAAAGAGAATAATTGGTCAACTATAAGTATATGAAAAGCAAGTCAGAGCAACAAGGAAATCATTATCTAGAAACAGATGAGAAAAATAAAGGCCATAAAGGCCTCATGGAAAATGTAACTAAGCACATGGTTCAGTCACATACCTCTAAGCAATGGATATTTTCTAAGAGCTGAGAAAAGGTATGAAGCTGTTCTAGTGGAAATGATCCATTGTTTCCAAGGCAATCAGAAAGACTCATCTCTTTCTCTCCACATTCTTTGCCATAGCTCCTGGAGGCTGGCACTGGTATACGTGAGCCAGAATTCCATTTCTAAGAAGAAATATAAAACAATTAATCAGCAGACTACATAGACTATAAACAGAGAAGCACCTGTTAAGGTGGTTCAACTGACAGAGTCTGAATGCTGTTTACATGAAATTCTGGGTAATTAAAAGGTATTTAAATATCTATACTCACCTCTGACATCTGAATGGCTATTATTTAGAGTCAAAAAAAGAAGGTGACAGCAGTTTTTGGAATTTTAGATACTCACTCCATGTACAAGACGCAGTGTGGATGAGCCTAATGTCAACTTTACAGTTAATGGAGAAGGTTTCATGTTTCTTCGCCTCCTAACAATCAGAGCCGTCTGCCATAAATTCTCTGAATTCTTAAAATAGATCTATAAATTTGGATGTAGAGTACACAGAAGAGGTATCCATAAGTTAGAGCAACATAAAATCTAAAACACATAATTAATTGATACATATTAACTATGAAATATTTTGTACCCATTGAAATCCAACTGAAGTTTTTTTTTTTTAAATTCCTGATCAGGAATCCATTAAATATA